TTTCAACCAAATCGCAAGGAGGGTCGGCGACGCTGAGCTTGTGCATAACTTTGCTATTAACATTAGAAAGGCTATTTGCCAAGCAAGCCTTTGAAAACTCTTTGCCATATTTAAGTGATAGTTGCTCTGCTATAACTTTGAATTCAGCAACCTCAGCCTGGAATCTTGGGGCGACCCAAATGAGAGTGGAAACGGCTTCATCTAAACCACGATCTAATTGGCTGTAGAAATTAAGCAAACATAACCAAACCTTTGGGACTCAAGCAATCCGAACCTAGCAAGCAAAATATCGCAGTACATTTCGACAGCCTCCATGGCCTCAACTAAATAGTCTTCTCTAATAATCACCTCGACTTTAATACGAGCACGGTCTAATTTGTTAGAAGATATGTAATCGGATATTTCCTTTCTGGCCTTCAACGCAAGCTCTGTTTTCTTTTTTTCAAGAAGTTTGAGGCGCTGAACAGCCAATCTAAGATTGGTCTTAAGTTTAGCATGGGAGCAAGGAGAGGAAAACATCTAGGTAAGCGAGACCCACAAAATTTAGCGCCCGTTTATGACTAAAAAAACAAAAGTTTTATTATTTCTATTTTATATTATAAGTAAGCAATTTTTAATTTAAAAATAAAATTTAATTGTAATAAGTTTGCTATTTAAATTTTATTGTAAATAACTCGGCAATCATTTTGAAGTGATATTTTTATATGAATCATTAACTTCATTTCACACGTCTTTATGAATCCTTTTGGTGAAGAGGATACCGCTTATACATTTCCTCACACTAACTCGAGGAATGAACTGGGACTTACATATCCTACCCATAACTCTGCGTTTACCCCTCAGTATTCCGATATTCAAGTACAATCTAATTTTACTTTTTTACTTTTAGCAACGCGTATTGGATAGTAAGTCACGAACTATCGAAAGCCAACAAAGGGCCTTGGCCAGTTTAGCTAATTCTGAAGAAATTGGAATTACAACAGCTGAAGAATTACAGATTCAAGGTGAAAAAATCAAAAATGCAGAGCATAGACTGGATGAAATAAGTAATATTCAGAAGCAGAGCCAAGGTCAAATAAATTCGTTAACAAGCGTATTCGGAGGTCTCAAAAACTTATTCTACCGAAAGTAATTTATTATTTTCAAAGTTCTTA